TTTAATGTATTTCAGTAACTTGTTTAACTTAATTATTCTAATGTGAAAAGTAAACATTTAGCGACCATAATATAATGAACAATAAACATATTTCTGCTAACATTTTAACACTTCTGTTATTAAGCAAAGCTTATATTTTCCAAAAATCTAAATAAGCACGAAAAAGAGAATAAAAATACTGTACATCATTTAGAACAACCTGCAAGTATTAACATATCTGCTGTTGTCAAGCGGTAAATATATATTTAATGTGTGAATTTTAATATTTTTTTATCTTTATTTTAACAATCATCTCAAAATTATCTTTATTTCAACAATATACATTAAGACAATTAAAATATGCATTTTAATTATACTAACAAAAAAAATTACATTTAGAATTTAATATTTTTTGTATGATCTAATATATGTACCTATGTTATCTTTGAATAATGTAAGTGCTGATGATTTAAAGATTTTTCGAGTAATTGAGAATTTAGATGACTGTCTGAGACTTCAAGGAGATCTGATTGCGGTGGGCAGGTGGAGGAAGAGAATTTCGAGAACTTTGAGTGATTTCAATAATATTGATTGTTTTCTGTTAGTCTGTATTGGTCTGTACCAAAGAGAGTTACTCTGTACCAAAGTCTGTACTATTCTTATGTTAGATCAGTCCTGGAATATGCCTGCCAAGTATGGTCTCCTTGCTATGTAGGTATATTCAACAAATTGAGAGAGTACAGAGAAAGTTTGTCCAGTTTGTGAGTTCGAAGATGGGTATTAGGGGTGAGGAGGTTGTCTATGAGGTCTGTGTTCAGGTCGATTGGTCTGATGGCTCTTAGATTGTTCTGAGTTGTTATCTCTGATAAATATATCTGTACTAAGAGAACTTTGAGGGAATTTAATTTATTTGATGTTCATTTTCACAGGACTAATTATGGTTTAATGTCCTCTTTAACACGCTTTTCAGTGACAGCAAATGAATAGGCCAGAATTACCGACATTGGTTTTTTTTAACGACTCATTGAAGGTGTTGGGTTCAAAAATTAATAATTTGGCTTCTCTCTATGGTTAGTACCCTCTTAAATTTAGCTTTAATTTAGTTTAATTTATATTGGTGCTGTGTGCTACTGTTAATTATTGAATATTGAGGTTTTCATTATTTTTGTGTTTGTTTTATTTTTTATCTTTTATTTTTACAAAAATGGGTAAGTCCGTAATTAAATATTTTATTTATCCTTTATAATACTATTTTTGCCTGATTTGTTGCTCTTTAACATACTGACACTATTCTAAAAATTCTATTTAGTGACTAAATAAAATTAACTAGATTTTAGTATATTATTTTTCCATTCGATTATGGGACAATCTCGTCCATAGCAAATATTTTTTAACGTTTCTTTTTTACACATATTAAATTCTCATAAACAGTTCTTTGTTAATATAGCCATGACGATGTAAACTGAATTCACGATGTATTGATTCATTTTTAGCCGACCATACCAATAGGTATGGTAGGCTATTAAGATCGGCAAAAAAAAAGTTTTTTTAATTTCACTCAAAATGAGTTATTTGGGTCATAAATGACCTAAATACAAAATATTTTTATGGTGTCTGTCTATCTGGTGGGGATGGGGGTTGGTAAGGGGGTATGGGAGGGGGTTAAAAATTTAAAAAAAATCGTAACTCTAAAATTACAGTAGTTAGCGAAACACGGTTTTCAATTTAAGATTAGGAATAATATTTGCAGCAAAATTGGTAATAACATCAAAATCAGTCAATGTCGCAGTTTTTGAGATAAAAAAAAATTGGAAAAATTCCTTTACTTTGAAACTAAAAGAACTGCCTACCAACTTTTTATTAACGTATTTTAGTATGGGCTAATTTTTTGTAACAGCTTTGCGTACAAATTTTGGTTTTATATTAGATCTAAACAGACATCCTAATATGTTATCGGTGTTACATTTGTTTTTAAACCATGCAAAAAAATAATTTCAAAATAAGTTATAGTTTACAGTTGGTTATACTATATTTATAGAAATATGAATCGGCCACGTGAAGAAATGTTAAATTAATTAATAAAGGAAAAAGTACAAGGTATCTAGGAATTAGTGTACTGTAAAGAATATAAATAAATGTAAAAAATGTATATAATAATTACACAGGCTTGTTATACTACTTTCCTTGGAAAACTGATTTTACTTTACTTTTGATATAAAAAGGAAAAATTGAATTTCAAAATTTCTTGATTTGATATTCTGCGTTAGATTTTTTTAGTTTTTTTACTCATAGACCCATTTTTAGTTTATTACTCATAGACCCAGTACCAATATTAATTCTTAAAATAAAAGTAGAATTTTAACGTTGAATTTAAAGAGGAGTCAAACATTAATTTTGGTTTGGCAATACTTCCATGGTCATAAGGGCCATGGTCAGGACCTCACAATAGGAATTGACCTCAAATCCTATATATACATATTGTCGGTCTAGAAAGTCTTGCGACGTTGTCCGATGCCAAACTTCCACGTCTTCCGATCATTCCATTGTCCCTCGCTCAGATTTCTAGCACTCATTGCTCTTGTGACACCCTCCTTCAAAGTCTTCTTAGGTCTTCCACGTTTTGTTCGATGTTGGGGTATCCATTGCATAATTTGTTTTGGAAGTCGGTCCATACTCTGAATCACATAAGTTGTTGGCGTTCGATGTCGGTTGCTAAAGATCCCTCTATTCCTATTCTCTGTCGGATTTCTTCGTTTCGGATTCTATCTCTTCGGGAAAAGCCTAAGGTTCTTCTATAGGTATCCATTTCTACCGTTTCCAGTTTTCTTCAATTGGCTTCCGTTATTCGCCAACTCCCTGCACCATCTCTATGGTGCAGAGAGAGTAGAGTGAGTAGACTGCTCTTTACCAGGGTCTCGTATATATTTATCTTCCGTTTTTTCCCTATTTCCTTACTCATTCCCTATTTCATTACCTCAAATCCAAGGAGGTAATAGGGAAAGAGAGATATATCCTCTATTATAGATCGGGGACAACACCGGTATAAGGTCTAAGGAGAGACCAAGTTAAAGAGGTGGAGAAAATAGAGACCGACCTCCAGCCTCCACCTCAAGGGTATCATTTAAATTTATATACATTTATAGAATATAAATGTTATACAATATAAATGTTGTTTCCATAACTATAACAAACAATTCTATAACTAACAACAAACCAACGAAACCAGAATAAATTGCGAGACAATCATAAGCGTGGTGGCAACATCGAACCAAATACAACCGACCTACTAACCTTGAAAAAATAAAATTCAAAGTAAATCGACTTTTATTTAGGTTTAAATTCAAAAGATTTCAGTTAAATAATAATAAATATTCAGTTATCAAACGAAATAAAAGAAGTTTACGATACAGTTGTTATTGCAACGAATTTTAACACTTACTTCCTAAATCGAATTTTATAACGTTTTCCTAACATCTGTAAATTATCAGCTGTTTTGTGAAGTGCTTAACTTTGAGAAATAATGTGTTTACTTAACTTCGTTAACAGTTAATTGTTTGATAGTTAATGAAATAATTTCACAGATGTAATGAGCTGTTGAAGAATTGATCTCCGTAATTGATTAAGACACTGCGGTTTTTTGATACGCATTTTGAAATTTATTTGCATTCAAATGATTTTTAGTAGCAAGGATTAGAATTGACGCACCATATCGGTTGAAATTTTCTAACTATATTATTGTCGTATTTTCCTTGTAAATAATTTAATTTAATGTGTTACTTTTTAACTACACGTCTAAAGAAGTTCGAATTAATGAATCAACTATCTGTATCACCGGAAAAACCGCAAAGGAATATCAAAACCAGTATCTTTTATTTCAGTTCCAACAATTTTATATTATTGTTCAAGAGAATAGCAGTGGATGTAAAATACTGTCTATACAATATTCTTAAAAGATTGTTGTTTTTTATCATCCTTGTTAAGGATGGATGATAATGCACTTTATCGATAATGCAATTCACCTATCGATACATGTTAGTTATCGATATATCGATAGTTATTGATATATCAGATATATCATATAATATCCATTTTCTGCATTTTTAACATTAATGCGCTAAATAACTTTGCGATTGAACGGAATATTGTGATATCATGTAAAATCCTTTGTACATGTACAGGGTGGGTCAAATTGGACGCCTTTAAAGGGAAACACCCTTTTGTATAGGGGATAGACAAAAACTAATATCGGTGTCTGGAGCTTAATTTTTATCAAAAACATGATGGTGAAAACCGCACATCGGTATCTGTTACCGTCTCGGAGTTACGGGGTATTTTTAAAAAAGTGCATTTTTAACAAATCGCTGTAACTTTGTTGCTATGGAAAATTTTGTATTTTAAAAAGTTCGAATTAAAAATGCACTTTTTTGAAAAACATCCCGTATCTCCGAAACGGTAACAGATATCGATGTGCGGTTTTCACCATCATGTTTTTGATAAAAATTAAGCTCCAGACACCGATATTAGTTTTCGTCTATCTCCTATAGAAAAGAGTGGTTCACTTTAAAAGCGTCCAATTTGACTCACCTTGTACATACAGTTATATTTGAAAAAAAAATCGCAATATGATTTTGAATTCATATGAGTTACAATTGCTGGAGTTAATACGACGTCACTTTATGATTTTTTAAACCATTGCACAATAAAATCGATAGTACATACTGCTTAAATCAGCTATAAATGCATTAAATTTAGATAAACCGTTTCATATTCAGATGTTATAGCAAGTAATAGTGACAATATGCCAGAATCACCGTTATTATTTGATAAATTATGCAATAAAATCGAGAATAAAATGGATGTACCATAGTGTGTTTTTTATATAAAATTATTTTTTTACTTGTTTAGCCAATAACTTTTTATTAAAAACGAAAAAATTATGATTGTGAAAATTGTATTTTGTCATTTCAATATCAAATTATCATTTAATCTATTAATACTAATTCATTTTATTTTTATTCCAGTGCTTGGCAGCTGGTTCCTCTATCATGAATAGAGAATCGGAAAGCTCCGCCATGCGCCCCCTAGCCAAAGCCGTGACCAAGAGCCTGGAAAGCGTGCGCAACCTGTTACGCAACGCCTGTCTGCGCAGCAACACGCCCAACGGACCCATCAAGCTCGACTCCAACGACCTATTCACCGAGATGCTCTTAGAAAGTCTGAAGATATTCGACCGCCTCTTCGCCGAGTTCGAACTGGACTACGTCAGCGCCATGGTGCCCGTGAAATCGACGCAAGAATACGAACTGCAAGAGCTGATCGGCGTGCTGTTCTCCGAAACGCTGCGCAGAGCGTTATTGATGAAGATGCTCACGCAGGACATGGTGGACGATTGCGATCCGGCCTTGATGTTCACCATCCCACGTCTGGCGATTGTTAGCGGGTTATTAGTGTATCCGGACAGTCCTTTGTGTATAGATAAACCGATGGAAGGTATGAGCGAGATGTTTCGACCGTTTCGCATGTTGTTGCGGAAAATTCGCGAACTGCTTTGGGCCTTAGATAAGCGAGAGTTGTATACGTTAGAAAAGCTGCTCTGTGATAACGAGCAAATCGACAGTGTGAGGGCGGTGGTGGACGTGGACCTTCGGGACGACGAGTATTTTGATCAGTTTTATCGGGATTTTTCTCGCTGGCAAAACCAACCGACCTACGAGTATTCCTCGCCGACGGTTGAGAAAAAAGTGCCTCCGCAACCTGCCACGGTTCAACCTAGTAATGTCCAGCGAGAAGTTACGCCGGATAGGCCTTCCACCTCTGGATATCTGATTCCTCAAAGTGTAGTGCGGAATACCATAATCGCTTCGTCTGTTTCGCCAGGTCGGAGAGCTCATGATCAGTCCGTAGACTCGCCTCCAGAACACGATTCTTTAGAGGTGATATCAGCCGCAGCTGCCACTCTATCTTCCATTTTAAACATTAGCGACACGCCCCAGAAGAAGGCGTCATCGCAGGACCTAGAATCGCCGGACGATTCAGGAATCTGCACGGAAACCACCAGCTTGGATAGGTCACCTAGTTTGGAATCTAACGAACCTCGAAGAAGGTGTGAGTGCGGTCACTCACAGCGGCGGATGGAGAAAAGTGAGTATGGTAGGTCATCGAAGAAGGGTTCGAGGAGGAGTAAATCGCCGAAAAGGGAGACTGTGTCGAGGAAGAAGAATCTGAGACAGGAGATGTCGAGTTCGAGCAGCTCGGAGACGTCGTCGTTTAGTAGCGCGTGCGCCGACGATGAGGAGATAGCGTACGCGTTGCAGGCGGCGGAGATGTTGATCAATAAAGAGGAACTTCGAGCAAAATACAGGTAAATATTAATAGAAAAAATAAAATGCTCCGTGATAAGTAAAAATAAAGGTAAAAATAAAAATATAACTACCTACTTAATTCTTAATAAATTTCTTAGTTTATCACTTTACTACTCTTTACATATATTTTACTTAAGGGTGAAAACTGATTCCTTTTGATATTCATATTTTTGGTATGCCTCTGTAAGCCTTTTTAAGATTCACAGTAATGTCATTTTAACTCAAGTCTTGGCATAATTACTTTCTCTCTCCAAAAAATCCTATATGGCTATTTCGCCACTGCAAGAAAATCTACAAAATAAAATAGTTATTTTTTGCAAACACTGCTGCGTTAATCCAAACGGAAGAAAAAAACTGTTTAAAATATTTAAATTGAACTATTCGAGAACACTTTAGTTTTTAAAACAGATACGTCTACAACATAACTAAAGGAAATAAATTTAGATTGGAAAGCCTGTCAAATTATATAATTGTTTTGGGTCGCGACCGTTGTACGCGATTTGGCGCTGCTATAGCGGTTGCTAAGAACAACCGCCCAAGCAATAACAGAAATAATTTTCTCTTGTCAAAGTCAGACTTAAAAATTATATGATTTTTCAAAATTTAAACCGCCCACATTGAAAAAATACCGAAAAGTGTTTAAAGCTTCCATTCTCAAAGTAATTATTACTATCTTTTTTAAATTTTACTTACTCAAACCCGTGATAATTGTGAAAAAGTGGCATTAAAAACTATAAAACTGTATTATGAACTGTGAACTGCCAAAACCATCGTGGATCGTTGTATAACGTCGGTTTCCAATGTTTCATAGGTATTTCACCATACATGTCCTTATATAAAATAAAGTTTCTTATATGCAACACACTGTATTTTATTTATAAAATTGAAAGAAAATAATAATAAATTTGAATAAATATTTGGTGACCATAATTCCGGAAAAAGCCGAACCGATCCGAAGTTATAAAAAGCTTTGGGTCGCAATTGTTGCAAGAATAGCGCCAAATAGTGTTTACATTGTCCTTATGGGCACTTTCCAATCTAAACTTGTTTCATTTATCTATGGTCTACAAAAACCGTTGACGTTCTGTTAAAATGACATTATATCAAGTTAAACTTCAAAATTAATAATTACCATCTGATAACAATTACTTAATAAGGTAAAACCAAAAAGCCCCAAACTTTCTGTATGATTATTTTTAATTTTTACGTATGTTATGTTCCTTAAAATCAAAGAAGAGATTGCCATACATTTTTGATTTTGGTTGTTTTAAACATGGAGTGTAGAGGAACGATTATTGTTCTTCTCTGGTAAAGGCAAGGAGAATCATCTATTATGGAACATATACATATAAACTATATAAAGAATATCGCCTATCCCTGCAATGTGTTGGAGTTGAAGCTGTGTTAGAGACGACTAGATAACCGGTCGATTTATATTTTACATAAGTTCGTCTGTTAGGCAGACACTGGCGCAATAGAGCAACTCCAATATTCCGAATATCGATTAGCCCTTACTCTCAGGATTAGCCAATTGTTGAAACGGGAGCGCAAACGAAAGCCGTACGAAGTTGGATGAAGCCGTACGAATGAACAGCTAGTGCTAGCGTCTAGTCTCTTATTGGTCTAGTTATCCGATCGATAATTCAAAATCCAGGCTTGCGTACTACGCTTGAGCAGGCCTAACTGAGATGAATTCCTTCTGAGAATTTATATACCCATTTCACCAGCTCGGCTTCACAGAATATAGTTTGGAGACAATATGGTTACTTTATAAATATATGTTATGGAACTTTGAAAAGGTAGCGCTAGTGAGCAATAAGGGATTGAACTGAACTTAGCGGTTATAAATAAAGTGAAGTCATTAATGAAGTGTTGAAACGCGTCTACATAAAGCAGCGCCGTCTTAATTATTGTTCCCTGTTTGTTGATTGCTTTTCAATACAGGAAGATAATTCTTCTTACCTCTACCCTCCATAGTTTTAAATTTCTGATTGTCTTTATCTTATTGCATGGAAATGCATATACAAATTTTGTCTCTACAGTTCCAGCGAAGACCTCATCCACCGACTGTTCGTTTGCATCGCCGGCGTAGCCGACCAGCTCCAAACCAACTTCGCCTGCGACCTGCGCAACATCCTCAAATCCGTCTTTCTCATCAACGCCTCCGACACCACCGACCCGCCACCCAAACCTCTGGAACCGCCCTCCTTGGAGTCGTCCATCGAGTACCACCCCTCCGAAGACGAGGTGATCGAGAACAACGAGTTCTCCGTCGACCCCAACATCCTGGCCCAGGAGGCTTTGTTCGATACCAACGTCTACTTCCATCTGGACACCGACGGCTGTCCTAGCAATTACACCAACCACCCTCGGCAGTTTCAGCTGGAAGACTCGTTGAACGATTTGGGTAGGTTTGGTTTGGTTTGGTTGAAAACACTGAAAAATTAACCCTCAACTGGCGTGGTGAATTTTTGTAACGCTTATGGCGTGCTGGGGTCCGACGGACCCAAATTTTTTTCAGTTTAAAATACATGATGAAGAGATTTTATAAAAAGCTTGTTACTTTAACACTGTTTACAATATATTCAAACTTGTGAACAAAGAATTTCGTTAATTTTCAACAAATTAATAAGAACGGATACAAAAATAAACTAAAACGCATTTTTAGGGATTTTTGACAACAGAAATATAACTTGGCTAAGAAACCCATAGAAATTAAAAACTATATTTTATGAATTTACCATGTTATTAAAAGTACAAACAACTGAAATGTGAAGCTAAAGTAATAAACATAAATTATTTTCAACAAAACTGCAAACCTTGAATGTACATAACTTTGTCAAATACAGTTCATGCTAATATAGGATCTGCATTTGCCGCACATTGATCGTGCACATTTGACGCATGAGATTTTTGTTTTTTGTCATTTCTTCAATGACATATGGTTGCCATATACCACAACTCTTTCTTTTCTGGTATTGATTATTCAATTTTCTCTCTTCTATAAGTAAGAGATTCAGAATCGGTTATGGTTACTCTTCGGGAAAAAATCAATGTCTCATCTTCATCTCACTTAAGCCTCTTTAAGTTTGTAACGTTTTTTATAAACATTACCACTGCGAACGGCAGCTTTTCATCGGAGAGCAGTCGTGGGTAAGGTATTTCACTAGAGAGAAAACTAATCAATAACAATAAACAAAAAAATATAGATATTGGGCGCTAGGCATGTACAGAGAAAGAAAACACAGTTGTATATTACTTAAAACTAATGACTATATTTATTCATGATGTTCTTTGCTGGTACATGACATTGTAGAGTTCTAGTAAATATATAGTGGTTATATGTCAAAGAAAGTGGTGTTACGAGTTGTACTAAATATCTATGAAAACAACTATGCAACTTACAAGACATGTAGAGTTTAAGAGAATATATGAAATGTAGCATTACAGTACGTCTGTCCGTTCTGTAGCTACGGGGTATCCGTGAGAGGGGAAACGATATTCTCTCGATGTTTTTCGTAAAAAATTAGACGACGCGTCCAATCAATAAAAATTCGACAAATTTGCAAGTAGCCAATAAAATGAGTGGGCGGAGCGATTTGCGGTGACGTACTCGTCAAGTCGACGTATAACATATATTGCTGTTTATTTAAATGTTTTTTGTCCGCATTCCTTTCATAGACACAGATCCAGCAGACGTACTGTACAATTAACTTGATATATCTTATATGAAATTGAAGATGTTGCAACCCGTAGATTCTAGAATCTATGTTTGGTTATTCATCTGTTAAAATAGTGCAATAATATCTATAAAAGTAATACCATTACAAGACGTAATGTAATGATCTAAATGTAAGATCTAAATTATATTTTAAATATTAAATCGACATGAATGTTCTTAACAATCTAACCACTAAACATAGTCTGTACGATATTACTTAAGATGTACGTTATTGTTTAAGACTGAAAATGTTTTAGATGTTAAATGTAAAACTAGAACTTAAATCTACACTTAGCTGTTCTTTATGTAAGCTTGCTTCAAACAGTAACAGCGTGAGGTGGTCTCGCATCTCTGTACTCGGCCATCCAATACAACAAAAGGGGCCAGAATGAGGACACCATGAATTGGAACAGCCGTAACTACTAACTAGCTTATGGATGGGAACGAAGCAGCATGGGGCTCAAGCTACATCCACACTGGGGCACTTTATATGTAAGAAAAATCATTCCTACTGGGGACACTCGTCCATAGGACATCCGTACATAGGATAATGGTACAAGGGAACACTACCCATACCTTGGACCATAACTTAGGACTATAACCTTGGAAATAGTCCGTACCTTGGAGCCTAAAAATATGAAACTCTTGTTTAAAACCAAACAAGGTCTAATAGACAAAATAAACCTACCTCGAATTACTTCCGAGGGCTCAATAATAAACAAAGAAACTGTCCTTTCTTCCATGTAACATTCTGGAGGACAAAAGAAAAGGGACGCCAACGTGCCAGCAAAATACAAATACAAGTTAAGTTGGGACATCCAAAACTCTACCCTAAAAATATGCAGTAATAATATCGAATCTCAAAGGATAATATTTCATCTTTACCTGTTGCTTTGAAATAGCAGCTGATTCAGATTATACAGCGAGATTTAAATAATCACCATTTCTAAAAGCCGGGATGGTTAGGTTAGGCTACAGAGCGCTAAAAGCAAAAGTCAGTCCACAGCACAGAGAGTTGACAGAAGCGATGTTGACAGCGCCTCCACAGAGCGATAACAGGGTTGTGTCAAACGATAACAGGGTTGTGGACTAGAGAACGTAAAAATTACGCCAAGGGTGCCAAATAAATTATCAGGCCTGAACGATACGGAATCCGATGACGATACGCCAGACATCATATATATCATATACAAAAAAGACATGTAACGAACTAAAAACGTTACAAGTTCATCAAACTACTGAATTAATGCTTCCTCAAAATTAGCGTCCCAGTGAGGCACACTTTTTAGACTACCTACCATCCTAATAATGAAACATTCTTGGCGTGGTGGTGCCACACAGACCCCAATGAAACTTTAGCCCCCTCTGGTAGGAACAATACTTGATGAAATCTAGTGCGCCTTTAAGAGTTGCGTATTGGTACCCTAACTTAAAGGTAAATGGCGCGGCGCGGCTTAATTCTCAAACGTAAACATTTTACAGAGGTTTAAATAGTGCTTGGGGTCCGCTGGAGCCCACCTTGCCAGTTGAAGGTTAATTTGTGAATTTAATAACAATATTGATGGTTATTTCTTGCTAGGCATGTTCGGTCTTCCGGTCTACCGGTACCAGGACCGGTACTTTTGAAATATTCCACTATCAGTATCGTCTTTTACAAGACCGGTTTCAGTACCGGTACCGGAGGACCGATTTTGGTACCGGTACAGGAATCAATCGGTACAGAAAAATAGATTCATGATAATATGAAAATCTAAAAACCTGTATAAAACGATTTCGGTACCGGTTTTTGTGCAAAGCTGGTTTTGTTCTACTCTAGGTACCATATGATCGAAAACAAAAACTGCGTCAGCGATGGCTATGAAATGAAGATCGCTGTCATCTTATACAGGATTGGTAACTTGATATCTAGGCATAGGAATTACATGCATTGGAATGAAACGCCTATAAAAAGTCTAAGCTTAAAGAGAGATGGACAACAACTTCCCCGTTTCCACTTCCACTTCGACTGTCAAGTTAGACAAACTTCAATAAGACAACAAATTTTGAAAATAGGACCGCCTCCGCGCCTCCTCCCATCCACCTGCTCTTTGTCGCCATTAATATTATTTCTCTCTCCGCGCCCCCGCGTCGCGCCAGCGCTTCAGTCCGTCACAGAGTTGCCAGGTCTACCGCTTTCGTCTGTAAGCTACCGATCTACCGATTTAAACAAAAGTCTAGCGGTATGTTCAACTGTGTCTTTAGTCTTTACAATAGAAGCACTTTTAAAAATCTGACACATTTGGACTAAAAATTAAGCCGACTATCGCGCCGTAAACCGTATATTCTGACATTCGTAAATATTATTGTTTATTAAATTTTGTTTAAAAATTGTAGGTCATCATTCTGTCTGGTCGCAGAATTACGGAGACATTCTCAAAAATTCTTATTGTCTCTGATTATGTGCTGTATTGCCAGCATTTCCGAAGATCATATATTTAGAAAATATTTTGTCTCATTCCTTTACTAAAGTTGAACCCGCATTTCTCCCCCCAAAAAATAAACAAAGAACAAAATCTAAGTTAAGAAACAAACTAAATACGGACAAATATTTGTGTGCTTCTTCTGTCTAAAAAGTATATTAATAAAAAGAGAGTTGAGAGTTAACAGCTACGTTAACATACTAAGGGCTGGCAAAGGTTAGTCTTGGGTCGAGATTTCCGTATGTAAGAAGAGTACAATGCGTTTATAATGTACTGAACAAAGAGAGAACAGTAAACACGTTGCCAAACGTATGAAATAAATCGAGAAACTGTACACATTGCTAAGAGACGTGGAAGGGGATATAGCAGATTTGTCGCAGTTGACCGGTCGGCCCACTCAGTACCTCTGTCAGTACTTAAAGTTCTAGGGAATGGTGTACATCATGCGTTCAGCTTCACGATTTAATTACGTCTCGTGATATTTTATTTGTTTATTTATTAACGAGTCGTTGTAGTTTTCCTTATAGTTTAAAAAATTTTATATGCATGTTAGAAACACTTGCATTTTTGGTAAAAATAAGTGGAATTGAGTTAGTGTTCGACAGTGATTGCGCTATTCAATTGCGTGTTCAATTTTAGGAACACATAGAAATGCTAATTTTGTAATTAAATATTATATTTTATTTTGATTGTGCAGTTTATTATAGTTTTAATTTTGATTGATCATTTTAAATATCAATATTTGTTAATAAAATAAAAGTCGTGAAAAATTATCAAATTATTTAATAAAGCTTTTGATTTATAAATAAAAGATCATCAAATAGGGAAGAAATAAATTTACTATCTAACAAATCTGGCAACCCTGTTCTGCCACTCATTACTAAGTTTTTTTCGGGAATTTTTTCTTTTGTCGAAGTTCCATCGCCGACGCGAAGCAGACGCTTGTGGTCCCGCCCCCTCTCCCAGAAGCGATCTTTTCATTCATCGTGTCACTTCTTCTAATCAGGGGAAGGAAAAACAGAGTTATCTGTCTTTGTTACACTGCAGGGTAGACTGTAGCCGTGTCATCTTTTTTTTTATCGCATTGAGAATCTCCTATTGCTAACAGTAGCTTTGCCAAACCTGTTTAATATATCAATATTTTTTTGTAAAATTACTTATATTAATATTTTTTTCAGTGTACAGTACCGGTCCGGGTACAGATGGAACGCACGGCGAGGCTCCGTCTATAGAGGAATCACATCGGGACAGCATAGAAAGTCCGCCCGTGTGGATCCCGGACGTGCAGGCGCCGAAATGCATGAGTTGCGGATCGAATTTTACTGTGATGAAACGGCGGCACCATTGCCGGAACTGCGGTAAGGTGTTCTGCGCTCGCTGTTCGTCCAACAGCGTGCCGCTACCCAAGTACGGCCTGGTGAAACCCGTCAGGGTTTGCAATAAGTGCTTCTTATACAATTTGACCCCATTTACAATTCATTAGAGGCGGCTGTTTTCGAGAGAGGAAGGCACACAGAGTACTTATAGAGTGAGATTTTTTTTGACTTGCGCTATAGATTATTGGAAATTTTAATTTTGGAGGATAGTGAAATGTTTACGGTAATTTTATATGTATAAAAGAAAACTCGAACTAAACCAACCAGTAGGTAGCTCATTAAATGTAAACTTCACTAGCTCAAGGTGGTTCCGTGTATATTTTTTTATTATCTTGACCATTTTTTATCTTCACTTTTATTTTATTAACTATGGACACTAAATGTTGGGTTTATTGAAATATACAGGGTCGTCTGAAATGTATTTGGGAAACTTCGGCAGCATATTCTACCGATAAAAATATGTAAAAATGTTCCATAAAATGCTTCATTTCGGAGATACAGGGTGTAGAACTTTCATTTTTATTTGTTTTTTTTTCTAAGTAATTTCTGAACTAATGTCCATATGGGCGTCTGGGTGTTTTTGGATATAAGTATGCCTCCTACTTATAGGGGGCGTCACCTATATATTTTTAACTGTTTTGAAGAGTAATAACTTTTATCCGTACCTGTATTACACTACTAAGTGGAAAAATATAAATTTCCGCGGTATTTTACGTCAAAATGATCTCTTGGTAAAAATAGTTCACAAGATATTTGGAATCAAATGCTTCATCATTGACAAAAATTAAACATGTTGATTAGATAGTTATTAGACTGAAATAATGAATTTAGAAATGTTTTTTGTCAAAGTTTCAACAGAAACCGTTTTACCATGATTTTTTCTAGAAAAAGTTATGATTAATTAAAAAAATAAAAAGTTCCCAAATTTACTATTTAACTTAAATAACTATAATGAACATGTTTATTTTTTGTTAATAATGACATGTATTGACTAAATTTCTATTTCAAATATCTTGAGAACTGTTGCTGTAGCGATTTTGATCAAGATATTTTTTTGCATAAAAAAAATATGGTAATGTATATTTTTTCACTTGGTAGCTTTATACAGGTACAGACGAAAATTTATTACTCTGCAAAAGAGTTAAAAAACATGTAGGTGGCGCCTCCTTCAAGTATGAATTATATTGACATAAATCTTCATGCCAGAAAACACCCAGAGACTAATTTTCATCTAAATATTGCCTACAGTTTAGGAATTATTTGGAAAAAAGCGAAATAAAAATGAAAGTTCTACACCCTGTATTTCTGAAAGAAGCATTTTAGGACATGAATTTAAAGGAACTTTTTTACTTATTTTTATCTCCAGAATAAACTGCCGAAGTTTCCCGAATACAATTCGAACCACCCTGTATAGCATAACATAAAAATAATATCAGCTGCTTACTATAAATCTATAATAAAAACATAATTGAAAACTCTCAGTAATATTTTGATTTTTTTGCTTTCCAATGATCCAATTGGGACTGGAAAGTATTTATTCTTTATTTTATTTATTTAGTCCATTTATGTTTAAGAAATAATGACAAATTAGAACATTTTACTTAAGAATGCAGCTGATTGCTTTGGTTGTCATATTTTGCTCAAACCATATTTTTTATTAAAATTTGGTTTCGAATTCACTTTTTATCATAGCTTACAATAATATAAAGTAAAAACAACTTTTATTGTAGGGTTTAAGTATGGGAAAGTTACCAGGGATATTTTTTTTCTATATGATTTATTATTAACTAAAAACAGCGGCTATATAATTTTGTGGGATCAAACTTCGAAATTAAAAAAATTGTTCTAAATTTTATAAAAAATTGAATGAAATTTAAAAAATGTTCTAAGGGATATAAATAAATTTTCTTTCAAAACATGTTTACAAACTTAATTTCTTAGTTCTAATTACTTTTACACATATTAATTTCTTGAATCTCTTTAGATCATTTTTCTTTTGATTTAGAACCCCTAACCTCAGATAGTTCTTTTCTAGGTATAACAATATATTTTCAACATGTATGTTATGTATATATGTGATATAAACCCAACATAAAAAAACTCCTGCTACGTTATCGATTAGAAATTTTCGCAGGTGTATGTGTGTACATATTTTCATAATTTATCAAGTCCTGTAATTAGTTATTATCAATTAAATATTTAATTGTAATCAAAGCTCATTGTAACATTGGTTGTCTATTTTATGATTATGTATAATATGTTATTTTTATTAGCCACTTCTTTTAATCTAATTAAGCTTTAATTTGTTTTAAATATTCTAGAAGCTGATGTGACCAGTAATTTAAAATAAAATGGAATTATAGATTTTAAAATATCTATGATCAATAGAATTGAATTCAGTTTTTTAACAATAAATTGATCGTTATTTTTAAGATTTTTTAACTTTTGTGGTCAATTTTATATTTTATTGTTTTTTGCAATTAATTTTTGTTCTGTTTATTTTAGCTAAAATGCTTTATTTCTTTGATGATTTTCTTTTATACCAACGTCTCCAAGCCTCTATCAATTAAAAAAGGTTTAAAGTTCATTATGTTTTTCAAATATCTCTTTGATTTTTTTGAATTTTAATTTTTTATGTTTTCTCATTATTTTTTACTTAAAAAGGCGTTTGTGTTTCACTAAGCATTTTATATGTATGTATCTATATCTATCATAAATAAAATAAAATAACGATAATTGACCACGTTTTAAACAATTTTTCAGAAGTTTGTTTTTAGTAGTCTTTAAAACATTCACATCAGTTGAAACTTTTGCATGATAGCTTATTTTTTAATAATTAACGGAGAAAAATACATTTTAATGTGACCTTGCACTTATTTTTACAAATATTAAAATAACAATTATAATAGTCCCCTCCCATTTTCATTGAAACTGCTTAATAAGTTTAGTTTGAAGTTCAAGGTTACATGTAAAAAATTAGATTTTAGCTCATACATATTTCTTTTGGTCAATTTTTAAACTCTTCATGTTATGTCTTGCTCAATTTGATATTTTTGCTTTGTTTTATGATGAAGGAATTATACAATTTATTTCTTCTCGTACCATACTGGTCGACAAGTGTCTCCCACTATAAATCATTTTATTTTAAAGTTACAACAATGAAATTTAGGTATAAAGTATAATTTGTTTAACTAATTATCGTCAAATAGAACACTAATTCACCCCAATCCACCAAAACATATTACTTTTACACTGGACGCGCGTTTCGCTAACCATGTTAGCATCATCTGCTTATGTAGAGCAAAAGTAAGGTGTTTTGGTGTAATGTGGTGAATTAGTGTTTTATTTTGCTGTTGTAACACCAAAAGTTCCAACTCTTAACTGTACTAATCTAACCTTGGAACTTGGAACATTTGTTATTTAAATAAGAAACTCGAAACTCGCTATACTTAGACATATTTTTAAAGAAAATTACATTTTGAAAATGTTTACATTCCATTTGTTATTTTTAACGTGTAATATTTAAATAGATAGATATTTTCTAACCTTGAGTGGTGATATGCTATGAATAACTTTAATTGTTGATTGTGGATCGTTTAGTCAAGTGCTAACGTATTACCAGAAAACCCATAATATAATATAATTAACAATTTAAAAACTTATACAGCTCTTGTCAGATAAGTTATCAAAGGTATTATCTGTATACAGGGTGGTCGGAATTGAATTCAGGAAACTTCAGCAGTATATTCTGCAGATAAAAATCCGTTTCGGAGATAAAAATAGTTTCGCAAATACAGGGTGTAGGTTTCATTATTATTTCGATGTTTTCAAAATATTTTCAGAAGTAACGTCGATATTTGAATGAAAATTGGTATCTGGTAATTTTTTTGACATAGGAAACTTGATTTCGATGGCAATACGACTACATCTTTCTTAACACTTGTGTCTACGTCTCACTAGTCTACTCAGGCACCCAACATTTTTTGTCCCTTTTTTCCCGTTTATTTTCCCTTAATTTTATGATTTCCAATTGTTAGCTAATTAAACTAAAGACGTTTATTTTTGTTAGAACGATTGGCGTCTAGCCGGACCGACTTTAGAACCCGCAATTCCACATGCGCAGAAACGATACTCGGGTAGTTGCGTGCAATCTAAACAAAAAAAAATTACCCCAGAGACTAACCAGTACAATCAAAACACACGTACGGCGTATTTTGATTGCTATTACCGACAGCTGCAAAAAAATTAAAACAGCTGTAAAGAAAATAAAAAGATTCTATATTTGTGGGATTTGAACCTTGGACCCCTCGGTCCCGAAGCGGCTGCCTCACTCAGGGAGCCACAGGCTACTTTCGTCACCAGACTATAGCTAAGCATTACTTTGTTCTGCCGTTCCACCGAAGACAAATACGCATGCGGAACTACGGGTTGTAAAGTTGCACGGTCCGGCAAGACAAATAGTTCTAACAAAATAAACCCAATAACAATCCAACTTTGAAAAAAAAACGTAAAAATAAACGTCTTTACTTTAGCTAACAATAATTGAAAATCATGAAATTAAGGAACAACAAGCGGCAACATTGTTGGGTGCCTGAAACTAGTTTCAAGAGTAATAGCTTTTCGTCCGTACCTGTATAAATTTACTGAGTGAAAAAATATACATATCCGCCGTTTTTTACGTAAAAAAACGTCTCTTGGTAAAACTCGTAGTATAGTAATATCAGAGTAAGTAAACCGACAAGTAGCGACAGTCCGGTTTTCAATTTTCTTTGCGGCTGCGCGAAATAAGTATTCTATCTGTCATATGAAGAAGCGAAGTTGCCACTGTTGCCATTTATCAAATATCTCTATATTTTATTTCTCCAGATATTTGAAAACGAAATAATCAGTACATGTCATAATTGACAAAAATTGAACGAGTTGATAAGAGAGTTATTAGTCTGAAATCATACATTTGAAATGTTTGTGCCAAAATTCTCAAATTTGTAATTTCTGTCAAATAGCTATCTAGTCAATATGTTTATTTTTTTGTCAATGATAACACGTATTGATATTTAATATTTTAAATATCTTGAAAACAGTTACTCGTAGCGATTTTTATCAAGAAGACTTTTTACGTAAAAAATGGCGAAAATATGTATATTTTTTCACTTAACACAGTATTTAGTTTTCTTCACACCAGTTAAAAAATGTGTAAGTGGCGTCCCCTACAAGTAGGAGTCATATTGACATCAAAAATGTCTTATGTTAAAAAACACCCAAACACCAAATTTCATCCAAATATCGGCTTTAGTTCAAAAATTATTTGGAAAAAAACGAAATAAAAGTTAAACTTCTACACCCTGTATCTCCGAAACGAAGCATTTTAGAACGTAAATGTCTACAAACTTTTTTACTTATTTTTATCTGCAAATCTGCAAAACTTCGGCAACCTATTCGCCGAAGTTTTCCGATTACAATTCTGACCACCCTGTATATTATTATTTTGTTTTAAATAAAATAAAAAGTATTGAGGTTTTCCTCATAAAATATTTAGGCTTTATTTTCAGATGGATGGAAATACCTATGATCTAATTTATTTATATTTTTGCGGTTAACAAATGTATAGTGGGACACATTTGTCATTTGGTCACCGGGCATGTTCTATATCTGTATATTTTGACACGCCTATTTATTTATATAAATCGTAGTTATATTCTGTATTAAAGGAGATCATAGAAAGTTATTTTTATAAAGGCATTTTAGATTTTTACAATTTTTTTTGTTAAACGCGTTAACTTCGTGTAACTAGCATTTCATATGTATTGCCTTAAAATGAACCGCGTAAAAAGTTCGTAACCAACAATTTTATAAAATATAGGGTGTTTTGACTTAAAATACCGACTTTTATCTATAATAAGACGAAATTAGTTTCTATTAATGCGACAAGAAAAGTTTAGAGTGATTTTTTTAGCAGTGAATACTTGTTTAGATTTTTAGTATGTGACCTGATGTTTTATAAATTTTAGTACCTACCACTTACAGTTACTATTTTCGTTTTTAAATTAATAAAAAAAATATATTATGGCAGGTCTGTTGCACAAAAGCTCAGTAAAAGTTCAACAGGTCTGCTCGTAGCTAAAGTAGCCATTTTAGTTTCATTGAACATTATTCACATTTAATTTTCATTAATGTACTGAACTATTTTGTGATAACTGTATATTTTATTTTATAATGGTTTATGGGATTATCATATCCAATAAATATTATTTTTCACATTTGTTGTTTTATTTATTTTTATTCAAGAATAACCCTTTTGTGAAACTAAAAATAGAAAATATTCGTAAAAAAAT